AATTAATTTTTTTAATTGCTCCCTGAACCTGTTATAATTCTATTAGTAATATGTAGATATTAATTTATTATTTAAAAATTAATAAGACTTTTAAGTTTTTATTAAATGAATACTATTTTAATTATTAGATTAGATTAATACATATAAATTATATTTTTATTATGTCAGCTTGCGATCAAATTCTGTGTTAAAAATATATCAATATCACTCCCTAAATATTAATTTAGCAATAACAGTTGAAACTTAATTGATATTTATTATTAAATTATTATATAACCCTAATTAATTTAACATAATAATTATTAATTGAAAATTAACAAATTTAATTAAAATTAGCCGAGTTTGCATCACTAATCAACTATATTATTGATTTTTAAATTTAATTATCATGTCTCTCTCTAAAATTATTTTCAAGGTCCAAATCCAAATAAGTATAAGAGATTTATTTATAAAAAGTAAGTAGAATATAGTTTATAATCCTCTATTATATATAATTATTTATAAAATATTAGGTAATGCCACTTTTGCACACGTATTTGATAGTTATATAATATATTACATTTAATATTTTTAAAATTTTACTAATCAATACATTTTATAATAAATATAAGTAACAATCTATTTAACGCCATCTATTTATTTAAAATATTATTATAATAAACATCTTATCATTCATCTTATAATAGATGTAATAAATTCGATATCTTTTCTTCTCTTTTTTACGTGTTTTTAGGAATGCTATTTTTTTATTCTTTGGAAAAAAGTTTAAGTTAAATTTTTAATACGAATATATTTTTGATATTATTACAAACTACTATTATTTTAAGATATAATATACCAACTAGAATTGCTTTCATATATCACTCTGGTTCTTATTTTATAGTTACAAAATGTTTTATTTCTAATATGTCATCCTTGCCGTGTAAATAACTCAAGGCTTCAATATATTTGCAAATTTCTTCTAAAGATTTTTAGTGATTTTGTTTTATCAATTCCAACATAATAAATTCTGATATGGATTACCATCGTGAGTGTCATGGCTATGACTGTAAATTAATTAGCATCTATTAATTGTGTTGCTATGTAATTTAAGAGTATTACTACAGCTGCTGAGAGCATATGATTGCATATTTTAGATATGCAATAATGGTCAACTGTGTAGTCGTTTATATATCATTAAAAATAGAAGAAAATCTTTTAGAAATTTAATATCTCACAATAATTTTCTTAATTACTTATCTAGCTTCCATCATATCATTTAAGAGAAGTTCTAACTACCATATATTTTATGATTTGGATTGGTCGTTTATATTCTCTTCTTCAAGAATTGTTAATTTGGTAAGGCCTCTAAAATGATAAAAGAGAGTTATATTAGTATCATGACCTTTTGTCAATGTAAGCTGCTAAGAATTTTATAGTCCAATGTGCTTTTTAAATACCATTATCAATTGAGGCATATGTATAATTAACCTTTTTTATCACTTGTAATTGTTTAGACGAAAAATTTTTTTATATCAGCCATCGAAAATATTTTATACTATAATAAATAGATTTTGTATTAAAAAATATTATTTTTAGATATATCTTGTATTCTTTTAATTATTTATATGTTAATTTATTTTGTATGCAAAATATAATAATTGACAAAATATCAGAATAATTGTTTAGAGTTAGCAAAATTTAAAAAATCATAATATATTAATATAAAAGCGGGCCGAAGTCCAGCAATTTATAGGGTATGGGGGGCGAATCACCCATAAAATATCTTTAGTTGAGCTCCCTGAGATTGTAAAGGCTAGCGACGCCCCTGATTTTACTGTTTAAGGCTATCTACGATGAGGGGCACCACCTTATTGCAAGTTGGTGGGGAAGGAGCCACGTATAATTTCTGCGCTCGCATAGTATGGTACTTAAGACATCGCATGGTATGTTAGTAATAGACAAGGAGCGGTTTATTAAAAGAAAAATTGATGACTAGTCAAGAACAATTGCCGCATATGCTAGCGCTCGCTTTGTAAGTTACTAAAGACAAAGAGGTGCAATTTTTTTTGTTAAATTAATGTTTATTAAATAACAACAAAAAAAGTTAATAAGCTAATTTATAAAGATAGTCAAATTATGAATGGATCTCAAATGCATTCTGTAAGAAATTATTTCAATCAATAAATATGCATTTAAAATACTTTTCAACTCAGTATAAAATTGTCAAGCAGTGGGTATATATTTTTTTTTTCTCTTTAGCTTTCACCTTTTCTGGTGGTAAGCTCCTTCAACATCTCTCTCCACTTTATGTTATTCATACAATCTCTTTTATCTATTTTATACTTCTTTATATTGGCTCTAACTTTATGGCCCCATTGAAGTTTTGGCCTTCCTCTTTTACGTTTGCCCATCACTTCCAAACTCTCAACTTTATTTCCTATGTAGTTCATAGGCCTTCTCATTGTGTGCCCATACCACCTAAGTCTAAGTCTGTTTACCATTAACTTAGTTTTAATGGGCACTACCTTTAAACTACTTAGTATTCTTGTACTGCGCACTTTATCCTTTCTTGTTACCCCAGAAATCATCCTCAGCATTCTCATCTCCATAGTTTGTAGACTTCTCTCGTCTGATTCTTTGGTTGGCCATGTTTCCGAACTATATAGAATAGTTGGTTGTACTATGGAATACCCACTGTCAAGCAGTGGGTATATAAAGGTTAAAAATATAGCAATTGAAAGATTAGCAGCTTATTAAATGATGGTAAATATGAGTGAAATGCATTATAAATCCATAGCAATGAAACAGGTACCATACGAAGGTAAATTTATCAAAATAATTGAAGATATAAACATAAAAACTCCAAGGATGAGTAATATAAGAAAGTTTTAAACTGATTTTGAAGGGTATAGCAAATAAATCTGTTAGTGTGTTCAAAATAGCTTATTGATAACTAGTTTATAAAATTTCAAATATTCGATATATTTTTTTTATATTCATTTTTATTTAAGATCGGGGTGAATGGTTATAGCCCATTTAATTTTTAATGTGACATGTAATATTTTTGATTTCTATATTCATCTCAATGATTGAATAGCATTTCAAGGTAAGCATTTTCTAATCACGATCGCTAAAATATATTTTTTTAAAATATATATTTAACAAATATAAAGAAAAATTAATAATTAGTCATTCTTATCCGGTGATGGTTTAGAATTTTTTTATAATATAAAATTGTAACATTAGACTACAAAACTAATCTTTTCTTTGATCAATAAGACCCTTGAAATTAGTGATTTAATAGCTCCTTTGGCTGACAAGTAGTGCTGTTAACTGCAGGGAGGGAGTAGAAGGTATGCGCCTTTAATGGGGGTGGGATAATTATTTGGGAGGTTATCTATTAAATTTTGAGATGAAATAGGAGAAAATACATTCCTGTAAAAATTGATACTTTTATTATAAAACTATTATAATACAATGATATTGCATCATTCACCAAATCTATATATTGCAAACAATCATAATTTTACAAATAAAACTTTCTGCTATCCTTATAAATGTAATTTTAAGGAGTTTTTAATTGAATTCATTATTAAAAAATAACTCCTTTATATCTTAAAATTTTGATAGTTGGTAATAGAGATAAAATAATTTAAGTTATTATTTTTAAAATTTCTGAAATATTATTATAATATAAAAGGTGTAATTAATAATGGGGAAACATCAGCGCCCGAAGGCAGCAAATTTCTTTTAGAGAAGTAGGCATAGGTTTTTAAGGGGGGTTTGCTTCCAGTGAAAATCCTGTCATGTAGATGCTGCGAAAGCCTGGAGATTTTGCTCCTGGATAACAAAACGGTTAGGACATTAACGAAATCTAGAGGTTCACATAATATTTTTGAGCAAAATATTTGGTTATACATTTTTAAAAATTGAACCATTTCACAGCATTGTTGACGAGTTTGATTAAGGATTATGCTATCTTCGAAGGAACAGTTTGTTGAAACCACGATAGGTATAAATATATTGTTTTCAATTAAGTGCCAATATTTATAAATCTTATTTCAGCGATTCCTATTATTTATTAATAGAGGGGCAAAAATGTCTCTGCATTGATGTCCTATTACATAGATTACCCCATATCCAAGGGAATTAAGTATGTCCATCAAACAGCTAATTATTTATGGACTTTATATATTTGTATCTGTAGACCTGCCAATAAAGTAAATACTTAGCTTTAGAATCAACTAGTCAACATCTTTGACAGTTGTAAGGCTAAAATATGTTTAAAACGCTCGATTGGAAGACAAATATTTGATCTATTCTTTTGAAATTAGATAAACAAGATTTTGTTTTAACAATGTTTTTATGCCTGTAGATCCTCTTATGGGTCACCCAAGAAAGGAGATTTTATCTTTAATCATCTGAGCAAAAAAGATAAATAACAGGAGTAGAAAATTTTAAAGTTGAGTATATTTCACAGATTTTATAATATAGGGTTAAGTTTAGTTTTTAAAGGAGGCAAGGGGAAATCACAAATTTTTTTCCTAAAATGTATACAATATATCACTATATAGAAGAATTTGAAAAAATAATTATCAAATAACGACTAAAATTAAAAATTGATATAAAAAATGCAGGTAAATAGAAATTACTTTCGCAAAAATTATAAAACTTGTACTCAGCAGATCATAAAATTTTATAATAATTTCTTCTTTTTTTCTTAAATTTATCAATTTTTATGTATATAATATAAATAAATGATATAATTTCTTTCTTTTATAATAAACGTAATTATATTGCCTAAATAAAAAGTTAAATATTTTAAAATAATTGGCAAGATAAAGGACCGGCAAATTTTTAAAAAGAAATTTGAGCCGGGACGGACTTGAAAATTAATGGTTACATGATTTTAAAAATATAAATTGCAAAATATATTATCAAAATCAAACCGTTTTTAGAAATTTAAACGATATTAAATTTACTATTCTGTAAAAATATTCTTTTTTTTATATAAATAGTTATAACGACTGAATTTAGAAACCTATGTTGGAGGAACCTATATGATGAATATCCTGACCAATTCAATATATATGTTGGTAGAGAAGAATTAGTGTGAGAAATTTAATATTTTATGTAATATTATACGTGCTAAAAAAGAATTTGTTTTAGATCATATAATAGTTTGTAAAAATGCAGATAGGTTTGAATTAGGTTAATGATGCTTACTACCAAATGAATGTATGGAAATATTCTTATTACCAACATAATTTGCTAAATACCGACCAAAATTCGTTAAAATGTAATAAGACTTATAATATATTAATATGGAATAACGTGGTCGAGTCCGGCCTCCTATATATCATACCCTCAAGGATGGAACCACCAAGTTAGAATAAGAAAAAAAACATAATTATTATCGGGGTTCGAACCCGTGACAATGGGATGCTAAAGCGAAGCTCTAACCGACTAGGCCATAGAGGCTTTCCAAAAATTACGATTTTTCAAATATATATTATAAATATATTTGGTAGTGCCTATCCAAATGAAAATAAACAAAATTCAAATTTGATAGATGGTACCTTAAGGTAGAGGCATCATTAACCTTTGAATTAAGTGTGTTACTTTTTTAAAATTATATTTAATATAGGAGCGCAGTTGATTTCGTCTTGTATTTTGTCAGTTATTGTGGATGTAAAACTGTTCTAATATAATTTGGCAGTTGTTTAACAAATTTGCTTATAATATCTTAAAATATCTAACCCCAAAGCAAATTTTTCCTTTAAATTTTAAAATAATCTTCATTTTTAAGTTTTAATAATATTTCAATTAACGAATCAATATTTTTAATATCTGTATTTTTTAAATACAATATTGATTTAATATACAGACATTTTAAAATAATTTGCTTAAATACCAAAATCTTTTCTAAAATTTAAAAAAAGTTACAAATATCACCGATTCTGCCTAACCCTAATTTTAGATACAGTTAAAAATTTAAATTTTAGAAAGACAAAATCTCAATCAACATTAAGGTTTGAAGTTAAGTCTGGTTAACACACATTATCCTCAACGATGTAAGCGTTATCCATTTGTTTATACTTTTCCCATTTTATCACTACCTTCTTTCACTTACTTTTCGCCTGAAATTACGCCTCTCTTTCAATTATTTCTATTATGTATTATTGTATAATAATAATTTCAAATTTATTTCCTTTCCTTTCCTTTCCTTTCCTTTCCTTTCCTTTCCTTTCCTTTCCTTTCCTTTCCTTTCCTTTCCTTTCCTTTCCTTTCCTTTCCTTTCCTTTCCTTTCCTTTCCTTTCCTTTCCTTTCCTTTCCTTTCCTTTCCTTTCCTTTCCTTTCCTTTCCTTTCCTTTCCTTTCCTTTCCTTTCCTTTCCTTTCCTTTCCTTTCCTTTCCTTTCCTTTCCTTTCCTTTCCTTTCCTTTCCTTTCCTTTCCTTTCCTTTCCTTTCCTTTCCTTTCCTTTCCTTTCCTTTCCTTTCCTTTTCATTATATTTTTTTTCTTAAAAATTTTAAATATTTGCGATTATAACACATGAAATTTCAATTTTCATTTTATTTAAATGTATATTTTAATAAAGGTTAAACGAAATATATCTTGTTAGAAATAACAATTCAGTAATGTCCTATATCGAAGGGAGTGATAGGGAGTTAAATACATATTCAATAAATAATATCACCAATAAAACGTTGATTTTATTTGAGAGGCTTGAATTATTGAACCTAATAAAGTTGAAACAACTCAATCTAACATTCAAAATTCAAGCTTATGTTAGTAGTAATTACTTGTACATTACATTTTAGTAACTTTTTTTTGTTAGATCGAAATTGGTTTGAATAGCGTTGGCGCTAATTTCAAAGTATGTATGTTACCGTTAAATAGTAGCATATCATATGTATGTTTGGAATTCGTAAGTGCAAACGTGAGTTAAATTTTTATGAACAAGATGTAAGACCAAAAGTAAGAAGGAAGGAAGGAAGGAAGGAAGGAAGGAAGGAAGGAAGGAAGGAAGGAAGGAAGGAAGGAAGGAAGGAAGGAAGGAAGGAAGGAAGGAAGAAAATGAGGAAGGAAGATGAAAAAGTGGAGCACAATAATTTTTTGTTTATATTTATATATATATAGGTAAGAATAAGAATTAACAAACAGAATGTAACGATGATAGTAATACATCAGAACTACACAAGTTCAGCTACATATCAAAATCATATAGTATACTACTTCTCATGGAGTCTACCAAATGAAAATTATTATCAATATCATTATACAGGTGGAATATACAATATATCTTCTATTCTCAGTTTCTGTATTTAAATAAATGCTACAATAATAAACAAAATAATTAGATATTTTATATTTTACTGATATTTAGGTCAATTATACCTATACAATTATAAATATTTTTACTAATAAATTATGAAAGACTATCAATTTAACAATATTAAGTAATTCCTGACATGACAATTTTCTATATGATTTAGACACTTTTTAATTTTTAAACTCTTATATTATCGTTTAAGAATATAATATATATTACGTTAAAGATCTTGTTTCGCAAGCATTTGAAAGAATATAGAGATTTGTTTTAAAAAATAGCGACTATATATGAAATAAACTTTCCCAAAAATTAATAAATATATGAATATCTTATAAAATAAATAGAAAGGGTGGACAGAGTATGGATTAGGTTCTTAATATTTTTCAAATATTTTGACGGCGGTAAAACTCATTTTTAAGAAAGTATGGATTAGGGTATCACGTCTATTAGGCGCGGCGACAATTCAGCGCGTATCTATTACAGTTGCAATTTATTGTATATTACTTAGTATAAAAAAATAAGGATGATTAAATAGAAATCATTTTGAATGTTGGTCCTATCAATTATTCCTCATATTTATATTACAAAAATCTCAATTTTATTTACTAAATGTGTAATAAAAAAAAACTTACTACCAATATTTATACCTATTTCTTTGGTTGACCAATTTATCACATAAGGTATGTTGATTAGTAGCCAATGTTATGTAAGTTGAGATTTTGGGCATATTACTTATCAAGGGGTTATATTATTTTTTTAAACTTTTATAATTTTACTTATTTTTTTTATTGTCTAAAATAAATTAGGCGTGAAAAGGGGATTAAGATTTAACATTATAGTAATTATCAAGGGGGTATTTTGGGTCTATTTTTAAAAACGGTTGATTAAGATTTTAGCCAAAATAATATATGAGATTAGAGATAGAGGTCAAATCTTTCTTTTTCTTTTTTCCTTATATGCGCAAATCTACAGGCTTACATAATATTGGCTACTAATCAACATACCTTATAATGTGGATAAATTGGTCAATTAAAGAAATAGGTATAAATATTAGTAATTTTTTTTTGATATTACACATTTAGATAAAATTGAGATTTTTGTAAGAATAAATATGAAGAAATAATTAATAATACCAGCATTCAAAATTTCTATTTAATCATCCTTATATTTTTATAATAAGTATTATAATAAATTGCAACTGTGATAGATACGCGCCGAATTGTCTCCGCGACGAATTGATGCCGTACTGAATTGTCGCTGCGCTGATTTCACGTGGAACCATGGATAAGATTCTTAATATTTTATAGGTATCTATTCAAATATTTTGACGGTGGTAAAACTCATTTTAAGATCATTTTTTTCCCAGGCTGTTAGGTAGTATAGTATTCGTGAGGTTGTTCCCTATAAAATAAAATATAACAAAAAAATTATAGCGAATATCTTTGAAACTTATAGGGTATACTTTATACATCAATACAATTCTGGCAAAACTATCTTACAAGATTTAAGAAAGAGCGCAAGTATGGTTTAATTTTTCTTAAATTTGTTTATAACCTGTACAGTTAAGATTAATTTGATATAATTGATATTCTTTAAATTAATTTTGAAAAGCCAAAACAAAGAGCTCGTCCGAAATAATTTAATTTTTTGTAAAAAAATTTAATATATAATAGTAAAATTAATTTTAAAAATATGTTAAACAATTTAGTAATTGTAAAAATAAAATAGATCTAAATTCTTGTTAACATTATAAAGATAAGAAAACTGGCTACTCGAGGTAATTTCCGATGGTATTGTGGAAACATCTAGACGTTATAAATGACCTGTCGTACGATCATTTAAAGGAATATTGTGTGAGAGGAAGAGAGTAATTACTTTGATAAACTACAATTAGCTGTATATTATACATATAAATAATAATATTAAATATATCAAATATAGGATAAAATAAAAAAATATATTAAATAAAAACGGAGGTGGGACTACACTACAAGTTCCCCAAAAAACATGTATAATTATATTTTAAAATAATGATTTGTAGGTTTTGTCTTAAAAAATAATATTCTTTTGGTTCTTATGTAAGGGCTCTTATCTTATCGCCAATATTTTCTTAGAATTTTAAGGTTCCGCTTGGTATGTGTCCAAGGGAAGATATAACGATCGGTGTAAAAATACAATTTGTGAATTTTCAATATTTCATTGTTTTTTTTTCTCGGCTATATCAACCGGATTAGAATTTAAATTTTTTGGGAAAGAAGATACGCATGTGAAGTCCCAAATTAAGGATTTCCCTAAAGACCAAGGCACGGAAGTTAAGCCATCTGGTCTTAAGCCATCTTGTAGTCTCACCTCCGTTTTTATATAATAATTTTTTTTATTTTATCCTATATTTGATATGTTAATTTTAATATTATTTTATTTGATATTCTATTCAGTTCTTAAAAATAGTAATGAAAAGAGAAAAAAAAATAAAAAAAATATTAAATATATAGATTTACTCTGTGCCCTGCATATTGGAGGTGAAGATTATCCAAGAAAAAAATGATGATGATAGTTAAATATACCTATATTCAAAATACATAATATATTTCTCACACAAAATTTTTAACTTATAAATGAAAGTAAAAAATAAAAATTTTAATAATGAAAATTAATAGATATTATGAATAATATATTTCTATTATAAAATTGCACAGTATTTTAAAAAAATTCAGAAATGTTTAGATATTTCTTATAAAAATAATTAGCCTTTTCAACTAAAATATCAATTAATCTAAGC